TGAAAAGTTATTTTTAGCCAATACAATCAGATCAACTATATTGCAGTTAAGTGAGATAATTATCCTTTTATTTACATCAACAAACCTTGTGCACGCGATTCTGAACAAACTTCCACGAAATTCTCAACTGGGAAAAACAACCGATAGGTTGTAGGACTTTGAGCCAATTTTTGGCCCCAAAATTGCACGTAGCAATTTTAAGTATCACTTAGCTGCGATGATGTGTAGCGGCCTTCCTTTCAGGCGAGGTCAAATGAGGGCAGACATTTTTGAACTTCCGAAATGTGCGAAAGAGCTTCGCTCCTAATTTCCTAAAGTGATCGCTTTTTTCTTTTACCGGATGTTTCACATCGTAAAAGAAAGAGGGAGAGGCCCAACTCTGAAAATAAAAAGTAATTTATTTTCCAGTGATATGTATAGATGAAATTTGAGAGAAGAAATTTTCAGGCAGAGGTGAAGCTATCACTTTGTCAAGTGCAAAATATGAATCTTTTCCTGTCGATGACATGACAGACGAGAAGTTGTGACTTTGCATAAATTATCATAATTCGTTACGCGTGACGTCACAAGACTACAATACAGGAGTACAGCAGGAAAGATGGCTCCCCGTAGCCAAAACTGTCATCGTAAAGCTAACAGAATGAAGTACGAACGATAAAACAGAGTATGAATACACCAGAACGGTGGTCAACTGCCTCATCAGACAGCGATTTGTCCTCAATATTCAGCTCAGGTAAATGTTTTTCAGAGTTCTGGAAACACGCCGGCTGAGAGAGTGTATTTGTTGAGAGAGGCTCATGTGGGGGCAAACCGTGGCGCAACTTTTTTATTGTTGGTGTTTTACCGTGGTGTTTTTCCTCTCTTTCACCGAATTATTTATATTTTAAGGAGAAGGCAGATGGGAAGGATTGCGAGCTAAGGATATCCTCGACTTACTTCAGCAGAAAATTGCGATTTTGTACGGTAAGCCCGCATGTGACATGTTTGTAGCGGTCATCTTCAACCATTGTCGAATTCAACGGTGTCATTCTATGAATTGTCTGAGAAGTTACACCTCTCCTCTTCTATAATCGATTGTTCTTTGGTCTGTTTGAATTGTCGAAGCGATAAACTTTTACTACGAAAACCGTGTGGAGTCAACAAATGCTCGATATAGCGCGTCCGATCGATAACTATGGTGATATTATAAATTTAGCTAGTTCACCGCAAATCTTTAATGATTTGCGATATCCAATTTGCACACCGCTTTTCTGATTCGTTAGTTCCTTGATTTTAAGGATGGTACTGTCATAACGCCCCGTGTCACAGGAGTAAAATGGTAAATTATGAATATTTGTTTTCTAGGAGGCAGAGACCGTCGAGGAGGTCCTATCATATCGTTTCCGGCAAGATCTAAAGCAGCAGAAATCGAACGTTCATCTTTAACTCGATTACTGGCCTATCTTGCAAGCTTGCCGAGGTTTGTGGAACTAAATAACTTCTCTTTTCTTTGACGTTTTTGTCCGGTTCATTGGTACCGAGGTGGTCGATCAGTTTTAAAACAACAGTCGATGTAATAAGAGAACACTATGGGTCTTGTGTTCTATCACTGTATTGTTGATATAAAGACGAAAACTCGCGAAGTTGATCTGTAGTTGTCATTTTGAAGTGCGGCGCAGTCGATTATAATGTTGAGAGATGGCAAAGCCTGATAAGGAAAGTGGTTAGTTTAATGGTTGTTTTTATTATTTTGTGAAATGATAATTCATACATAGGGAGAACAGGCGTGCTGCGGGACAGTTGCCTGTCACGCGCTGTCGAAAGGCCCATCTGTCCTCTGTAGAAATATTGAGTTGAATTTGGAGTGATACTTGAAGATTTGCGCAATAAAAATTGTAAGAAATTTCTGTAATTGAACACCCGGACAGCGGGTCTTTGTAGAATCTGCTTAAGACAAGCTGAGTGATTCTAATAAGAGATGGCAGTTTATAGCGTAAACATTCTTTGAGCGGTTGTCAAAAGTTTTTTTCCAACCGAACTGTCAACCTTGCCTCAGGGCATGTGTCGTTCACATAGGCATAATTTGTAGACATCAACAATTTTAACGCACACATTTTGTGCTTTTTCCCAGTAGAATGAACAATTTATGCGCGAAAACGGTGAATATCCTGAATACATATTTTCGTGACGAACAGTCGATCACTGGAAATGTTATTGCATGACGGCAAATTCACGTCTGTCTGCGACTGTTGTGTATAGTAATTTTCTGGCGCTGTTTACCTTCCCGACTTTGTTGTTTTAAGAGCGTTTACATCTCAATGGAGTTCTGTAAAAAAATGCGATTACTGAATATTTCTTGCCATTTTGTTTTGTTTTCTGTCTGCAAGTGGGTTTAGTACGTATGTTTTGCCTTTGTAAATTTCTTTCACTAAATAATTAACGAGATCTTTTTCCTCCAATTCACGCAATCGGTCATTTCGTCCGCATATCATATTCCAAGTCTGTTTTGCGTCGAGAACAGCTCCGAAACCGGGAAGAGGTTTAATTTAACGAGTTTAGAAGTAATTTGACTTCGTTAGATCGCGTAAATTTTGATCTCATTTTGTTATTACTACACTTAATATGATGTCCATCTATTTTGTGAATCGTAATTTCCAACAAACTTTTTTTGCAAGCTTTGAACTCTTCCGCGGCTGTCATCATTGGATCAAATTGCAAAAAATTCATTGAGTTAATTAAATTACCCTCACTAGTAATGTACCTTATTACTCTGAACTCTTTCAGGTTATTCAAGATTTATTAAATTAATTATTTATTCCGAAAAATCTTTTTCGGCTTATACAAACAATTGTTGTAAGAAATTTTGAGGAGTAAGTGTTTTTGATAAATAGCGTTTGAAAGTGTATACTTTGCTGGTGAGGTGAAATTTTGTTTTGTATAGCTGCAAGGAGGGAAAATTATCTTTGGCCACAATGTAAGTGACCAATGTTATTGACATACATGTAACTAAATTTGCATGTTACAAATTTCTAGAGATTACACCTGTTTCTTTTGGAGTGATTTATTGAGTCAAAATGCTAGAAAAAGCAATATTTTTTATGCTTTCAAAGTGCTTTGCCATAACACAATACAGTTGACTTTTGAACAGGTTCTGTCCAGTAGATGTGTGAGTCTTGCAATCTGTAGAACTACTCGGACTTTGTAGGCATCACACTGGGTTTCATATCACACAAGTCTCTGTTGGAGGTTCCAGAAACCCACAATTAATTGTTTCTCATTTGCACTGTATTCAAAACAAAATGTAACTTTAAGTAAAATTTATGTTGATCCCTTAAAATTATTGTAGCAAGCTGCGAACATATTCTCCATGGGATTTCTTGCCTTTTCATTTTTTGCGGAAGTATGGCTTATACACACGTGTTTTAAATTTGTGTTTGAACTTCAAATAATTGAGGTACAGTCGATTCTTGTTTATTACTTTTTTGCTGTAGTTGTAAGTGTTTTAAATTCCTAGCTAGGGTAATTTTAAAGTTATTATGCACAATTCAGGGAAATCTTTTGACCCCTGTTTTACTTTCTTGTTTTAGTGCATTGCAAATGGCTGCAGCATTCATTACAAACCAAATTGAATTCATGATATTTTTTGCTCTGGACTATAGAGAAGATTTGATAACATCTGACAGTGTTGGGAATTTTTTTGACATTTTAGCAATAATTTGAAAATTGCTTCAGTTGTTAAATTTGAGAAATGCATTATGTGTAAGAGGTCGTGTTGAGAGATTTTAAAAAAGTGTTCGTAAAATTTATCACTCTCAGAATCTTTTGCATGGTTTAAAATTTTGAAGTTGTGACAATTTTTACATTGCACCAGCAATTTTTAAATTCTCCTAATTCTGAAATCTGTAGAATGAAAAGGATGTGATGACAGATTTAAATTAAATTTGTAAGATGAAATTTTATGATTAACGCCTTATGGTGTTTTTGTCTGAGAAGTTTAAGGAACCTTTAAATAGGAACAAATCATTTAGGAAACAATAATCCAAGGCCGTACATTGTATGTACTAGTCAATGAGGAGCCTTTACAAAGATTTGTCTGGTTTTTGAATGATTAAAAGGGATTATAGAAATTTCAGATGGTCATATTTTTATGTGCACAAGTCATGAATGTAATTTTGAAAGATTACAAGCAGTTGTACAAGCTCATTGTTGAGAGGTTTTACAAGGTTAGCTTATTCACTGTCAGTGAGTAGATATCTGTTATTTCTGCTAGCATTTTAGAAAACAAAGTAAAATTGAGACAATGCCATCAGGTTTATATTACTAACTATGCATCCACTTACAGAGGCTCTTGAGAGCTCTGTAAAGAACAGGTTGAAGGGTTAGCAAAAGTTATGAGCTAATTTAAAAATTCAAAGAGCCGTGCAAAGAATTATTATTTTCTAGATTAAGCTAGCTTATCATAGCCAGCAGACAATCAGATGTTGTAGCTGTTGTTGTTACCACCATTAATGTTAACAAATCTTTATTTTTGTTTACATTTCACAAATTCCTTCTAATAACAAGGCAACAACTCTTAACTCTAAATACTAAAGACTTAGAGGGAATTATGATTTCCGCTCTGGTATAACTTAATAAGAAAATGGATGATGTCTCACCATCTAGTGCTTTGCTCTAGGATTTTTTGATCAAATTACTTACAGTGTAAAAATCCAACTTGCTTGATTTGTGTAGTATGAAAAAATTATTTTCACCCAGTGACTTTCTTTTCTTAGGTCCAGGTCAGACAAACGTGTGCTTTTGCTGTGCCAAACTTAATTGCAATTATTAGGTTTGACGGGCGCACGGTAGAGACAGAACTCTGATTCAGATATTGTGCCAGGGTTATACCAAATTCGGGATTTACTGAAGCCTCGTAACAATTCTCCTCATAACTCCCAATGGGAACACAATCCTGCCAAAATACATTAATTACAATTCATGAATTTCGTTTGACGTGGCAGAAGCACAACTTTAGAATCGCTGCTGTGCCAGGGTCATGTAGCACGGCAGAACTTTTGAATGTAATTGCTTGCTAAACTTTAATCAAAAGTTTGATTCAGATGCTCTAATTCTGTTGTGCTTTTGTCAAACTTAATTCCTGAATTAGTTCGACATGGCAGAAGCATGATGTCTGTTCAACTGGGCCTTAGAAATCTTTTATTTGAACTTTCATCAAACATCAAAATTAACAGTCATGCTAATTTCATGACACTAGCCTCAATTTCACTGTACAAACTCTCTTGGTGAATGTCAGTCACATGACAGTGAGCTGCATAGGCCTATAATATCCTGTAAAAACACTGTTAAATTGGTCATATACTGTACTTGTGATCTTTGGACATTGATGCATGTAATAGAGCTATTTTTTAACTATTAGTAAACGTAAATTCTTGACACAATGCCCGTGTATTCCACATAGGCTTTGCTTTACTCTGGCTTTATTACATTAAGTGACTTGGAGTATGTGTTACTTTCTGCTGCCGATGAGATACCTGTCCAGCACAATCATTTTTAGTATTAATATGGTTGGATCCCATTAATTTGAACTCGATTATTTTTGATTCCCCATTATTTAACTGATTTTTCCTGGATTTGCCCTTGGTTTTGCCCTTGGTTTTTCTGTCATTTATTATCAGCTATTTCGATCTAATTCTTGGTTATTTCAAACTTCCAGCTGTCTCAAACTGATTTGGGTTTCCCTTGGCCTAAAATCAACCCTGTTTATTTCCAACTCCATTGGTAGACATCATCGTGACATCAGACCATGTTAGAACATAGCTGGAAAACTTCAATTTGGGCTTTTCATTGCACTATTATCTCATACAGTACGAAACTGTAATGAACTGTAATGAAGTGTCATGAAGTGTTTTCTTCCAACCCTTGGTCAGTTAAAAAAGATTAATACATTCTATCATTTTGATTACATAATAATTAGCATTAATCATTATTTTCATATTTACTGCTGATCCAGTTATTTTGAACCCGTGCTATTCCGATTACTACTGATTTCTTTTCCTCTCAGAGTTCAAAATAGTGGGGTTCAACTATAACAGGGTTAAGCTGTATTATTAAGTAACATTACTTTGTTTGTTTAATTTCAGCGATCATGAACGAGAACTTGGATTTAGTCTTGTGCTGGACATGCGAGGCTCCACTTGGCTCTCAGCCAAGCCTATGCTAAAAGCTTTACAGGTTTGTTTCATTCCCTTAATTCTGATTTGCTTTGCCAATACTGACTGAAGCATTTGACGTTCAGTATTTTGACACCTCTTATATGACTTTCACTGGATAACAAATTACCAGCCCTAGTTGTTCAAAGGCTGGATATTAGAGGGCTTAAGCACAGACATTTTTGAGCCATGGACGTCAACCGGAAGTTTATGTTTTTGCCTTAAGCTTGTTTTCATGCCTGACAAGTGAGTTACAAAGCTCTCATTTTAGCATTTACAACTTGACATTTTCAATGAAAAGGGAGTAATGCTTGTCGAAGAGGAGAAGTTTCAACTTCCGGTTGACGTCCGTGACTAGAAAACGTCTGTGCTTAAGCTCTCTAATGCTATGCACCAGATAAATCGCTATCCAGTGGATAAGAGTTACTACAGTAACAAAACAAACCTGCATGAGCTATTCGCTGGATAGTGATAGTGATTTATGCAGTGGATTGCACTATCCATCTTTCAAACAACTCAGGCCAGGACTGTATTTTTGTTTTTACTGGGTAGTTCAAATTGTGATACTTTGCTCTAATCCCAATTTGTAATTTGACACAATTTTTAGTTAGTTTTTTTTTTATTTTTTTACTTACCTTTTTTTTCAAGTGTTCACGTTAATGAAGTAAACTTACATGTATTTTATAAAGAAATGAAGTTTGTGGACTCTGACAGGTGGTCACCAGTCTTATTAACAGAGTGGTCAGATTAAAGGCGTTTTCAATTACAAAAAAAGAGTGATCTTTTGTTTGATCTAAAAACGGGGGTCATATTTAATGTTTGGGACTGTCTTGCTTGTTAATGGAGCAGTTGTAAGGTTGGTTTCCAATGAATATTGATCCCTGCTCGAGGGTCGCATGTTCACCTAATAAGTATTGCCTCCTTTAATTAACACACCATTCACTGGTGTTTTTCACCACTGCATGTTACAACCAGTGCTTGGAGCTCTATTGTACTACTGGTAAGGACCCATATGACAATAAGTATTGTCTCTTCCAATAGAGGGGTTTTCAACTGAGGTGTCATAAAAGCAAAATTTACCTGTCCAACTACTGTACTTACCAATTAGACTGTAGACTCAGCCAATCTCAAACAGTAGTAAAACTAAAACCAAAACCAAAACCAAAACCAAAGATATTGCCTGATTACTTTGACACTCGGTAAAAACCACTCCATTGATGCTCCAAGTGTTGAGTTCAGTTATAAGTTTATACTGTTTGTCTTCAAGAGTTCATTTTAGCCAATCAGAGAACCAAGCTCCCAGGTTTGTACTGTAGCTTGGTTCTACGGTAACAGGGATGTTAACATTTACATGTATATGTAGTTAACTAACCCATCCCAAACATGCACCATGTCTCCGACAAGTCTTGTTCTTTGAACTTGCTCATTTGCACTCTGGTGTTCAATTGAATCATTATCAATGGTGGGTTTACTTATTGAAATTCAAAGTAAACTTACAACTTTTTGGATTTAGTTGTGTTGGGATGAGGTTAAAAATTATATTGCTTTTGATTCATAGAAGTTCAAAATAGAAAAAAAAAAAAGAAAAGGTGGGCCTGTTCATTGTGGTTTACTGTAGACTTGTTTTTGGTTTGAAAATGATGTTATCGATTAGTTGACTTTAATACTTATTATTCACCTTTGTTTCAGATTACTATTGATAATGAATAATGAGACAAAAGATCATTTAAAAAATGTCAAACTTTCAACAAGTAACAAATCAAATTAAAACCACAACATAGGTGCACATGTACATGTAAACATAATATGAAAATACAACTTTAAGGTACAAATTACCATGATCAATGCATTGCTTTCCTTTTGTCAATCTTGACCTGTCCAATTAGAAGTTAAAATTTGACTGACGTTTTTCCTTTGACGTTCATGTATTAGCTTTTTTGTATGTAAAATTATTTTGTTTTGTCTCTGGGATAGTTATAAAATAAAAATATTGCCCTGGCTTGTGAAATTGATGAATGCACATTTGTTGAAATTTGTTGATTTCATGCATTATAGAAGAACAGTGAAATTGAATTTCATATTGATTGATTGACCAGTTGATTAGTTGAAACACTGACAGCAATTCTACTGCCCATGGTGATTTTGTGATAATCAATGGAGATTTTAATATCAAGTACAAAAAAGAAGTATACATCATTCTATTCCAATCTTTTTGTTCAGTTTTCACTGATTTGAGAGTACAAAGAATCATTGTACAAAGGTGACCATGCAGCAAATAATGTGTATTTAACTCTGTACATAATGTCTTTAGTTAACAAATAAATGTACACCTAATGTCAGTCAAACGTTAATCATCTGTGATGTCCAGGGCTTCCACTAAATTGCATGTATGAAGCAGCTGTTAAACATGCCCACTGTCATCCATGAGCCATAATTTTTTTGACATTGCTTTAAGCAATTAATTTTCTAAATTTAGCAGCCGAAGACAATTTTAGCGTAATTGTCTTGTTGCAAACCGCTACATGTACATGAATATTCTACGTGAGTTTGTTTGTTCCTTTGTAGAATAGAAATATACTGATACTAATGGATTTTCATTGCTTTGTGTGCATCTTTCAGGAGTGTTTTGTAGCTAAAATACACACTGTTTATCTACTAAAACCTGACGGATTTTGGGAGCGAAGCAGAGCATCCTTTGGGAGTTCAAAGTTGCTATTTGAGGTATTAACATGCCTTATTATCACAAATGTAGCATGAAACATGTTAAGACTTCTTTGGTAAAATGCTCAGATCATAACATACCTTTCTCTAGTTTATCTTATTTTGTTTTAGTACCACAGGTATTTTGACTTAGTATCAATGCTTTACATATCTCTTAAATCAACACATTATTTTTTCACATTTTACCTTCTCCCATTTGCTGATTTTCTGCATATGCTTAATTAGCTGTTGTCAATGGCAGCTGCAGATTTGAGATCTTTGACAGTCAACTGTTAGGGCAGGCAGACTACATGTATCTTTGACACAGAACTGCTGTTGATAATGCTGTCACTGTGCATGCTTGTTGCAGCACTTCACCCTCCTTGGCGGGTGAAGTTTGAGTGTCTGGATTTGTTGACAAACTCTAACAATGGTCCATACATTGTTAAAGTGAAACCCGAAACTCTCTTTGAAGAGATAAATGTCAGACTATTGTTCCAGTTCACACAAGTTCAAACAGTCTCTGAATTCAAAAGTTCTGTCACACAAGATTGTATCTTAAACCTTTTTCACAAAACCACTCTTCATGGATTTGAAAACTGTCATTGCTAAGGGATTACTGCATTGCACAATTTTGCAGTTTTGTCTCAATTTCTGGATAACTTTGTTTGAGCTCTTGTCTCTGTTACCCAAGTATTGCATGACATTTTTGAGATTTTTGTGGTAACAACTTCTCCATTGAAAGCTTTTCATGTATGCAGCTATCATGTTCTCTAAGAGATGAGCCGTTCTTTTCTTAGTATAACCGGCTTTGATTTGTTGCTGATAAAGTAAACAAAAAATGTTGGCCCGTGGGGCTTTTATCTCTCCTACAAAGACAATCTTATGGTGAAAAAGGTGATTTGTAAGGTTGTGGCTCATAACATTTACAGGTTAATTTCCATAACTCATGATAAAGGTTGGTGTGAAGAGCTTTATGTATGTATAAATATGTATGCTATTGTCAGTGTAGTCATTGACTGAGATTTCTTGTTAACAATATGTTTGAACATAAAAGACTTGATAGTTAATCGTTATTTGCCATCGTGGTAAATTTAAATGCTTATTTCACCACCTTTGACAGCACTCAGTTAAGTCCATTGTAGACCTGAACATTAATTTGTTGTTGACTGTAGATTGAGTGTACAATGTAATATTGAATAGCTAACATAAATATACAAACATATCACATTGAAGAGGTTGTTAAATTGAATTAACCATGCAGTGAAATAATTTTTGTTTTCAAAATTGTGTGGCATTGGTTCTGTGTTAAGTTTGCAAATACATGAATATGATGTGTTTTGAATATTGTATTTATTGTTTAGTATTAATTTTAGTCTGCAGTCTTACATGTAGGTTTTGACAGATAAATATAGATGTACATGAATTTACTTGATAGGCATTTTCATTTCAAACAATGAATTAGAGTTTGAGTTGCTTTCTGCTTTAGGCAGTTTTTTGGTGTTTTAATTTCTTAAATCAAAACTGTTCATGACATACTGTAGTTGAACCAAATTCTGATGTGACAGTGTATGTTGACTTCAACAATGAAAGGCTTTATAAATAGCAATTTACTTTCAATCGGAAATCTGTGCATTTGTTCTAAATTTGATAAGAAAAGCAGATCTTAAGTATTGAGCTGATTTGCGAGTCTTACCACTGAACAATAAATTTTATGGAGTTACCAAAGAAAATTATTTTTTTTAAATTCATACACTAGCGCCATCTCATTTGTGATTTCACAGCTGCCTATATTTTAGGTTGCTTTTCAAAATTATATGCATCACTTAATCATTCTCTTCTATACTGTTTTGGTTGTAAGCCCATCAAAGTATTTTATGAGATTTAAATTTTATTTTAAATCTGATATTATGTTCACTTCTTTTGATACTTTGAGTTCATTTTAGGGCAAATGTCAAGTACAGTGTATTTCACTGATTTCTGAAATTTTGATCTAGGTTAATTCTTGGCTTTATATGAATATCATTTTAACAATTTCAGCTCGATGAAAGCAAAGAGTTATTTTGTGAGAATCTCATTGGAATCTTACCTCGTTGGCGATTTGAAGACTGTGTACTGGAAGAAATGTTCCATTGAATCGGAACAGCTGTTTGTGTAGTGGCTTATTTCATAGAACTTCATGCAGCCCAGCACAGTGCAAAGTTATTATTTAATGCAGTGTTATACAGTGTATTCTCAATACACATGTTGAGTCAGTCACTTTATTGGTCAGTTGATTGCTCAAGGCCAAACTTTAATGATCCTGGCTATTGTTTTCTTGTCTTTTATTATAACCATAACAAAGGAAAATCAACTCACACGACATTATGCAGATGAGATTTTAGACAGGAAGGAACTTCAAAAAGCCAACTGCTGTCACAAACCATTTTGCTAACGTTGGATTTGATGGCCTTATGATGAAAAACTATTGATTTATTTATTCAAGTTCTTGAACCAACCAATTTACATTGGGATAAATTGCATTGACATCAGTAAGGTGAATTGATTACTTGGGTAAATAAGTCTTTAAGCAAAAATTTTGATAATCTGTCCTTGGTTGGCTACAGCTAGTCATGTGTGAATTGATTGTATTTACTAACAGTAAACACAGAGTATTTTGAACTCTCCTACCTGGTTTTTTCAAAAGTTATCATCTAGACATTTTGCCATTTTGTATTTACATTCAAATTTTGGTTCTATTTCAATTATTCAAATTCAAGCATACTTATTCTGGTTGCTGTAGTTTAGACCACATTTCCTCTGTTTGTAAATATTTTGGTAGGTTCTTTGTTTAGCATGTAGCTTTAAGTTGTGCTTTTCGCACCATGCCAGTAGCTATATTTTGTGGCCACTTCATTTTAGCAGTCAAAACTGCTTTATGTTCGATTTTGACTTGTACTTTGTTTTGCTGGTTTGTAAAAGGGTAAATGACTTTAAGAGAACATTTATGTTCAAGATTCAACCAGCAAAGGACATTTTTCCCTGAGGCTGTGTTTTAATGACCTCGATCATGCTGCCTCGTCTGTCTTCATTTCTCCTAAGATCTTCGATTAATAGACATTTTAAACAGAGGTCAAGCTTTAATTAGAGGTCAGTTTTGTTTTATACTGTTAGAATTTTTACCATAATTTAGTAGCTTCTTTGCTGATTATAATGTAGACTTGCTAATATTGGAAAATATTCAAAATTCAACCGCTTTTAATTAATTATGTTGCTAGATTTTTCTTTAAAAATGTTTGCATGTCTGTTCATTCATGGATGATTTTTCACAAATTATAATGCTGAAAATAATATTTCCATACAACTTAGTCTTATATATGCATACAACGATGCTAACATTATGGAGAGTATTTCTAAGTTCAATTACACCACCAAATTATATGAGGCAATTGGCGGTAAAGAGTTAATTTTTAATTATGATTATTACAGGTACATTTTACTCTACAAGGTTTTCCCAATAGACTATGTATCCATACAAGGTGGTTTTGTGCACAATACATGCAGCTTGAGTGGCAATTTTCTTCCACTTTGATATCACGTCAATTGAGGAATTGATTTAAAGGTCTTTTTATTTTGAGTGTTTTTTTTGTATTGAAATACACTGGTCTGAATTAAAAATTGTATACAACTGTCATACAGATATTCATACCTGTTTGTCTACAGTCAAAAATGCTTTTCATGTGTAATACAAAATGTATATCATTCATTGACAAATATTTTTTGTGTTGTCAAGTTATAAGAATTTCCTTGTTCAACAAGAATTTCTTATTCCTTGAAGGAAATGGGGAAAGTTGTAGCAAAGCCATAGTAAAAAAATTATCATTATAGTTTTTTACTGTCAATTGTGAGGAAGATTTTTGAATCATAATTTCAGTTCCTCCTCAAGTGTGCCTTGATTTGCCTTCCGTATTAAGAATGTTAGATGATATTTTTCTTTTGATTACAGTGATGATTTTGTTGAATCATATAAACTGAAATGAGCAGAAAAACCTTAAGTGTTTATTGTTAAACTTTTCCTTTCATTTAAGAGTGCACCTGCTACAGTATTTTACAAAAATTAATTGACTAGAAAAGTATATGCAGAGTGCAGAGTTCATTATTTTGTCATTTTCAGGGTATATTTTGTTTTTTGGATTGTAAATTTACCGGTAGCTTCTTTATTTACATGTACTATGCGCTTTGAAACTCCTGTGCATGCAAACACTTATTATTTAAATTTTATTTTCATTTGCTTTAAGGCCTAAGACTCAGTCATGATCCGATCTTCAGACAGGGCTTCATGTTAGCCACACATTTCCATGATTGTAAGATTTTAGCTTTTTATTGCATTGAAATTTGATAGGCCCTAAGATCCTATCAAACCCATGTTAATTATGTCTACCCCCAAGTAGCTGATTAAACTTTGAATTCTCACTGGGTCTTTCAAGGAATTATGAGGAGAATTTGGATTTTGATTGTATGAGAAAGATCAGGATTAGGTCATCTTGTTGAATACATGATTAACAATGGAAAGGGTTGCATGTTAAATCCTGCTGCAGTGAAGCTTTTTCCTGAAGAGTTGTAGAAGCCATTGGTTAAAGACTTAAGCTAGAATCTTGGGTAGATATGAGTGACACTTTTTGTAACTTACTAACAATATTTTTAGAGTAATGTCAGTTTTACTATAAAACACCTGGCCTTGTTGAATGTAATTTTCACTGATACATTGCTTTGTTTCAAAAAACTGTAATTTTTTACAATTTGCTTTCAACCAAATTAAGAAAATTCAAAGTACGATTTGAGGGAAACTCAGTGGAAGAATAGAGAATCTTGGTATTTTTTTAAATAGAAAACTAGTTATTTTTTTAAGTTGTTTTAATTTCAGATTTCCCCAGCATGTGGTTTGAACATTTTGGTCTTTGTTGTGACCAACTTGGCTTTAAATATTGAAAACAATTGATTGCACAGTATGGGTTTCTGATCGTTGCTTACCATAAAATAATTGATTAATGGTTAAATTTCCACTTTTTCTTGTAACTTACATGCATAATATATCGCCTTCAAAGCTACATTTAAATGTATATTGATTCAGAATAGAGTTTGGAGGTAATATTTATATGCTAAATGAACAAAGTGACATTACACACTGGGGATGATCAATGTGTTCTTTTGGTATTTGACATGCCGTAGTATATTTTATTGACATGTGTCATGTGCTTTGCATGCATATTGGATCACCCTACAGGTGTGACATTCTACTTATTTTATCTTCAGTATAATTTCTAAGAAAAACGTTATTTTATTATTTTTCGGATATATATATTATGCTTGTAGGAGTGTGTACACCACTTGTCATCTACATAGTTATGTTCAGGTGCATGTAGTTTCGTCTGGTGTATGTAGCATTATCTACTTGTAGTTTCACCATTATTGAATTGGTTTTAGAGTTCCTATACAGATTTTTTGTCAAAAAAATGCCAAACTATAGGTTTTCAAAAATTGAGATTTGAAGTGGGTGATGAAACTGTTTTAAATTGAGGCAATCAAAATAACCATAGTAACTGCCACTTGAAATATTCGGTCAAACTTCATTTTTATGAAGTGTCTGTGTTATGTAATAGTGTGACTGTATTAAATGGGTTAGGTTTCAGTCAAGGTGCATGTATCTCAGTGTTGACCAAAAACTGTAAAAATGAAGTTGCTGTATAAAGTTTGGTATATGCCTGTACTGGACAGTGAATCAACAAAACAATGCCTTACACTCATCCATGTGCTTATAAAATCAAGTGAGTAAAATGTAAGCAATACACTGTTCATAAGATTCATTATTTTACTTTCAATATTTTTTAAAAAGTATTATTACTGTGTGATGATGATGATGATGATGATGATGATGATGATAAAGTATAAATATTTTAAGGTATTTATCATTTTGTTACAGACAACACTCACGTCCCTGGATGGTCTGTCGAAGTTTATTGACCTTGACCAACTGACTTCAGATCTGGGTGGTTCTTTTAAGTATGACCATTCTAAGTGGATCAAGATGCGTATGGTAGGTCAAGAGATTTTGTAGAGGGCTTAATATTTTGTAAAGTCTGTCTTCAAATCTAGCTGGCTTACCAGTCTGGCACTTATCTGGAATGGGATGCTTTTACTCAGAGGATTTAACTTACTGGTGCCCATTAATGTCCCTTGATGGGGAGCGGCACGTGAGAGTAAAGTGTCTTGCCCAAGAACTCAACACAATGAACATGAACAGGGCTTTTCATCTACTGTTAGGAAAGGTTTCATTTAGTGGCATCCTTCCAATAGGCACTCCTTTTGTAGTTAGCGCTCCCCATCGATTGCTGCTTTTTTAATAAGCGCTTTTATTCCAATAAGTGCCTTGTTCCAATAAGCGTCCCTATAGTGAACTCAAGGTGATATTCAAGACACTGATATGGAACACACTGAGTAGACAAATGTATTATGAAGTCTCCTTTCTTATCTGAACATAATATTGAAAATGATCTATCTATCAGAGCTGTTATTGTTACAGTTTTTGAGTTAAAGCAGCTGTTGTTTTTTGTAAGTCATTCTAACACATTCAGACCGCTATGTTTAAAATGAAATAAGTGCTCTGTTCCTGGTAAGTGTCCCCCCTCCAATAAATGCCCTCCCTGGAGCCACCGCAAGTAAATAAGGTCTCCAGGCACTTAATCAAATCATTACTAACAGTAACTATTGACACTGTAACAAACTAAGGTGAAATTCAGGTTAATTGAAAAACTTGAAATGTATAGATACACGCAAGTTCTTGAATTCCTTTTTAATAAATTTAAGTGCAGAAGTATCGATTTCTACCTGTATCAGTATTTAACTTTACAATGTATGTGGGTCTGTTTTTAACTTACTGGTATATCTACACTGAACATGTACAAAAAGAAAGATACATGTAGGTAAATTTGATGTCTGACCTGAGATCAATGCCACCTGTTGATACACAAAGCTTAAAATGATAAATGCAATCATTGTAAGATAACATGTTAGATATAATGTTTTGGCATTGTTGATATCATAACAAGTTTTATATGTTGTACTTGTCAAGTGAAGTAAAAAGTTTATTGGTTTACGTGAAACACAATTTCAATTCCATCTGTTTTCTTTTTGACACGTAAAGAAAGTCAATTGTTTGTGTATAATGTAGCTGATTGATATACGGAAGAAACTTAAGTACATTATCAGATAAGATGAATTTAAATTGAATTGAAATAATTGTTTTAAATTATGACAAGATAGTTTTTTTTATTAACAGCTGTCTAAAGCCTTTGTCTACCCACTGGGAAAGAAGCATAAGATTTTATCGTCATGAAATGTAATTACCCAAACCAGCAATTATGATTAAAACATGACAGAATACTGGTGAAAAAACAAATGTTTCAAGAGTATATATCAGTAGAGTGAAGTACTAACAGTAGTTGTTTTTGGGTTCTAAAGATATAAAGACATGCCTCAAGACCTTGGTATTAGTACCTTAAGGAGCTTTGACAACATGTTTAAGATATCACTATTTCTTTTACAGGCACTGGAAAAATTTCTGTATGAAGCCTCCTCATTATTAGCCAAGTTAGAGGAAATACAAGATGGATTAGCCCGAGAAGATTTTGCAGATACACTTGACGGTCTCAAAGATCAAATTAAACACAATCAGCATGTGAAGAAGTGGATTATCAAAGCTCCTGTGGAAGTCTTGCAAGAGGAGGGCGAGAAAATCCGCAACACAATCAAAAATCCAAGCCATAGGGATGATGGTGATAGTCTGACAGAAGAAGATGTGAAGAAAGGAGAACTTCAGATCAATGAGTTAGTGGAAGGGTTGCATTCAAAACGGCAAAAATTGAGAGAATTATGGAATCTACGGAAGCTAAAACTGGATCAGTGTTTTCAATATCGTGTGTTTCAACAAGATGCCGAAAAGGTAAAGAGGAAAAATAACTTTTAGATTTGTTTAAAAACTTGACTTCAGATGGGTATGAGTATGCTAATTTATATTGAAGTCAGGAGATAATTAAAGGAAATTCCTATAGGAAACCATTGCATGCTGCACAAAGTTGCACTAAATTTTTTATTGTTCAGTATCAGTTTTTCAGAAGGAACCAAATTATGGTTTATCAAATTTAACTGGCGACTTCACAGATAGATTTTTTCTGCCACTTTGTTTGAAGTTTGGCACAATTGAGTTACTGGCTCCATTATATCTTCTTTTTGTCATATATCTTTCAATTTGTTTTTGTTTTCAACTGGCTCAAAACACCTATTTGAAAAGTCTTGTTGACAAAATATTGGACAGGTATACAATCAAAAATATTATGTCATAACAATAACCTTCCTCAAACTTTTGCTGACTTCTTTTGAGAGACTTTTAGAATTTTGCTGGCTTAAGATTTTTACTTCTGGAATAGCAATTTTTTTTTGCCATAATTAATTAACAAATTGGAGATACAGTGTACATGAAAATTACATGTAGTGCACATATGTGNTTGCACAGTATGGGTTTCTGATCGTTGCTTACCATAAAATAATTGATTAATGGTTAAATTTCCACTTTTTCTTGTAACTTACATGCATAATATATCGCCTTCAAAGCTACATTTAAATGTATATTGATTCAGAATAGAGTTTGGAGGTAATATTTATATGCTAAATGAACAAAGTGACATTACACACTGGGGATGATCAATGTGTTCTTTTGGTATTTGACATGCCGTAGTATATTTTATTGACATGTGTCATGTGCTTTGCATGCATATTGGATCACCCTACAGGTGTGACATTCTACTTATTTTATCTTCAGTATAATTTCTAAGAAAAACGTTATTTTATTATTTTTCGGATATATATATTATGCTTGTAGGAGTGTGTACACCACTTGTCATCTACATAGTTATGTTCAGGTGCATGTAGTTTCGTCTGGTGTATGTAGCATTATCTACTTGTAGTTTCACCATTATTGAATTGGTTTTAGAGTTCCTATACAGATTTTTTGTCAAAAAAATGCCAAACTATAGGTTTTCAAAAATTGAGATTTGAAGTGGGTGATGAAACTGTTTTAAATTGAGGCAATCAAAATAACCATAGTAACTGCCACTTGAAATATTCGGTCAAACTTCATTTTTATGAAGTGTCTGTGTTATGTAATAGTGTGACTGTATTAAATGGGTTAGGTTTCAGTCAAGGTGCATGTATCTCAGTGTTGACCAAAAACTGTAAAAATGAAGTTGCTGTATAAAGTTTGGTATATGCCTGTACTGGACAGTGAATCAACAAAACAATGCCTTACACTCATCCATGTGCTTATAAAATCAAGTGAGTAAAATGTAAGCAATACACTGTTCATAAGATTCATTATTTTACTTTCAATATTTTTTAAAAAGTATTATTACTGTGTGATGATGATGATGATGATGATGATGATGATGATAAAGTATAAATATTTTAAGGTATTTATCATTTTGTTACAGACAACACTCACGTCCCTGGATGGTCTGTCGAAGTTTATTGACCTTGACCAACTGACTTCAGATCTGGGTGGTTCTTTTAAGTATGACCATTCTAAGTGGATCAAGATGCGTATGGTAGGTCAAGAGATTTTGTAGAGGGCTTAATATTTTGTAAAGTCTGTCTTCAAATCTAGCTGGCTTACCAGTCTGGCACTTATCTGGAATGGGATGCTTTTACTCAGAGGATTTAACTTACTGGTGCCCATTAATGTCCCTTGATGGGGAGCGGCACGTGAGAGTAAAGTGTCTTGCCCAAGAACTCAACACAATGAACATGAACAGGGCTTTTCATCTACTGTTAGGAAAGGTTTCATTTAGTGGCATCCTTCCAATAGGCACTCCTTTTGTAGTTAGCGCTCCCCATCGATTGCTGCTTTTTTAATAAGCGCTTTTATTCCAATAAGTGCCTTGTTCCAATAAGCGTCCCTATAGTGAACTCAAGGTGATATTCAAGACACTGATATGGAACACACTGAGTAGACAAATGTATTATGAAGTCTCCTTTCTTATCTGAACATAATATTGAAAATGATCTATCTATCAGAGCTGTTATTGTTACAGTTTTTGAGTTAAAGCAGCTGTTGTTTTTTGTAAGTCATTCTAACACATTCAGACCGCTATGTTTAAAATGAAATAAGTGCTCTGTTCCTGGTAAGTGTCCCCCCTCCAATAAATGCCCTCCCTGGAGCCACCGCAAGTAAATAAGGTCTCCAGGCACTTAATCAAATCATTACTAACAGTAACTATTGACACTGTAACAAACTAAGGTGAAATTCAGGTTAATTGAAAAACTTGAAATGTATAGATACACGCAAGTTCTTGAATTCCTTTTTAATAAATTTAAGTGCAGAAGTATCGATTTCTACCTGTATCAGTATTTAACTTTACAATGTATGTGGGTCTGTTTTTAACTTACTGGTATATCTACACTGAACATGTACAAAAAGAAAGATACATGTAGGTAAATTTGATGTCTGACCTGAGATCAATGCCACCTGTTGATACACAAAGCTTAAAATGATAAATGCAATCATTGTAAGATAACATGTTAGATATAATGTTTTGGCATTGTTGATATCATAACAAGTTTTATATGTTGTACTTGTCAAGTGAAGTAAAAAGTTTATTGGTTTACGTGAAACACAATTTCAATTCCATCTGTTTTCTTTTTGACACGTAAAGAAAGTCAATTGTTTGTGTATAATGTAGCTGATTGATATACGGAAGAAACTTAAGTACATTATCAGATAAGATGAATTTAAATTGAATTGAAATAATTGTTTTAAATTATGACAAGATAGTTTTTTTTATTAACAGCTGTCTAAAGCCTTTGTCTACCCACTGGGAAAGAAGCATAAGATTTTATCGTCATGAAATGTAATTACCCAAACCAGCAATTATGATTAAAACATGACAGAATACTGGTGAAAAAACAAATGTTTCAAGAGTATATATCAGTAGAGTGAAGTACTAACAGTAGTTGTTTTTGGGTTCTAAAGATATAAAGACATGCCTCAAGACCTTGGTATTAGTACCTTAAGGAGCTTTGACAACATGTTTAAGATATCACTATTTCTTTTACAGGCACTGGAAAAATTTCTGTATGAAGCCTCCTCATTATTAGCCAAGTTAGAGGAAATACAAGATGGATTAGCCCGAGAAGATTTTGCAGATACACTTGACGGTCTCAAAGATCAAATTAAACACAATCAGCATGTGAAGAAGTGGATTATCAAAGCTCCTGTGGAAGTCTTGCAAGAGGAGGGCGAGAAAATCCGCAACACAATCAAAAATCCAAGCTATAGGGATGATGGTGATAGTCTGACAGAAGAAGATGTGAAGAAAGGAGAACTTCAGATCAATGAGTTAGTGGAAGGGTTGCATTCAAAACGGCAAAAATTGAGAGAATTATGGAATCTACGGAAGCTAAAACTGGATCAGTGTTTTCAATATCGTGTGTTTCAACAAGATGCCGAAAAGGTAAAGAGGAAAAATAACTTTTAGATTTGTTTAAAAACTTGACTTCAGATGGGTATGAGTATGCTAATTTATATTGAAGTCAGGAGATAATTAAAGGAAATTCCTATAGGAAACCATTGCATGCTGCACAAAGTTGCACTAAATTTTTTATTGTTCAGTATCAGTTTTTCAGAAGGAACCAAATTATGGTTTATCAAATTTAACTGGCGACTTCACAGATAGATTTTTTCTGCCACTTTGTTTGAAGTTTGGCACAATTGAGTTACTGGCTCCATTATATCTTCTTTTTGTCATATATCTTTCAATTTGTTTTTGTTTTCAACTGGCTCAAAACACCTATTTGAAAAGTCTTGTTGACAAAATATTGGACAGGTATACAATCAAAAATATTATGTCATAACAATAACCTTCCTCAAACTTTTGCTGACTTCTTTTGAGAGACTTTTAGAATTTTGCTGGCTTAAGATTTTTACTTCTGGAATAGCAATTTTTTTTTGCCATAATTAATTAACAAATTGGAGATACAGTGTACATGAAAATTACATGTAGTGCACATATGTGCTGCTGATCAGTAGGGAGATATTATGTATGCCAACCAAGGGGTGCATTATGGCATTTGAAAGTAAGATGTCATTTTAAATTTGTGTCAGAAAAATAAGTCTAACTGTTTTACATGTATATTCTAACACAGTGGTTTTTATAACTCAGACAAAAATTCAAATTTTGAATTTAAATACTCAACTCCTTAGTTAAACTACTCTGGTAAAAGTTTTCATGGTCTGTGATGTTGCTTTCCACCAATGAAAGCGCTTTTGAACTTTTAGGATATTGGCGCTATATAAATATTTTATTATTATTATTAATGAACGTTGTTATGTTTGACATCACCTAACCCTTTCAATTCAACTCTCATGTGTATTAATATTAGTGGTCTACCTTTCAAGTGCATGGATAAAACCCAGTGTTTGACCATTCAATTGAAAGCCAGTGCTTTCATGTGGTACTGTTTATTATGTTGTACAAGGTGGTTCTAACTTTTTAGTCTGTGAATGAAACCCTAGTGTGTGGCCATTCAAATGAAAGCTATTGAGCCGTACTTTCATGTGGTACTGTTTATTATGCTGTACTAGGTGGTTCTGAGTGTTTAGTCTCTGGATACAACCAAAGTGTGAGACCATTCAAGTACAAGCTGTTGAGCAGTACTTTCATGTGGCTCTGTTTATGTTGCTGTACAAGGTGGTTCTAACTTTTAAGTCTGTGAATGAAACCCCAGTGTTTGGATGCCACCCTGCCGTGCTTTCATGTGATACTGTTTATTATGTAGGCTATACAAGGCACAAGGTGGCTCCAGCTTTTTAGTCTCTGGAAGAAATCCTAGTCAGTGGCCATTTTAATGAAATCTACAGTCTGAATTGAGCAGGACATTCTCATTAGGTTGTCATTGTTAAATTTAGCAGTCCTGTAGTGGAAGTAAAAAATCTTAAGTTAGTGGCTTCTTAAAGCAGTGTTTGTGTGCACGTGGCCATTCTAATGAATGTTGTTGAGCAGGGCTTTCTCATTAGGTTGTCTTTGTTGAATTTAGCACTCCTGGAAGTTTAAATCTTAAACAGCTTCTTAAATCAGTGATAACTCCAGCAATTGGCTGTATGGGTAGGTCATATGCAATCTGAGATTTAAGGGCTGTGTTTTTTTGTGTGTGTGTGTGATAGGGAGCCAAAATACGAGAACTATTTCTGGCTCCTCTGTCTTATCAAGATGACAAAGTGACTAAGTCTCTAAACTGTGAATTGGCTTTTTTTTGTTTACCATGAAAGATGATCTAGACCCCTTCCCTTTACATAAATGTGGACATTAAATTAAATTTCCATGGATGTCTGCAACTTCTTCCCACAAGTGTTTTTTACATTACATGTACATGTACAAATCCTTGACAGTAGATTGATTTGAATACAAAAATTCAAGGTCTTGGAATTCCTTGAAAATTGAATCTGGACTTGAAGAGAAAAGCTCTGTAGTGGAAAAAGTCAAATGGAAGACAGTTTAAGAAACATATTAAGAACTTTGACTTTATTTTCTATTTGGAATTGTGTTGTTTTTATAATATACAATAACACTGATTTTTTAACACTTCAACTTTAGCTTGTAAAATGTAGAAATCTTGTAGAAATCTCTAATAATTGTGCATGTGAGTTGTAGTCTTGTACCGACACTTGCTCTGTTTTTGATGGTATCAGATGATCAGATGCCCATGGTCTTTAGTTTCCATTCATGTTTACAATATACCGGTACTTGATATTCAACTGTTGTAGCTATATATGTTGAAAATTGCCTGAGGCCTGCACCTGTAATTTGTTGTTTGCCAGCGAAATATTAGTGTGCGATAAGGTTTGTTGCCTGCAGCCAGTGTATACTAGCACCAAACATGTATTGAAACACCACCTTTGTTATGGTAATACTTTTGCAGTTTTAGAGCTGCTTAAGACTTGCCCATTTACATTGAAAAGAAAAAACCTTGGAATAAACTCTTCCTAATAAACTCCTCTTTTCACTAATGTGGAACCTAGTATATGCTTAAAAATTTATTATTGTATCTTAAATATACATACTGTATGCAAATCTCCATTGCTTCCTGTTGGGGAGTTAATTTTACTGGTAAACGAAAACCTTTTAGCGTTAAAGCACCTATTGCTTTGTGAATTAAAGTTTTTTTAATCATTGTGCTATGACACAGAAATTTGCTCTGTTGTAGAAAATTATTTGACCACACGTTAAAACAGTTGGTACAAACTGACCTTCGGTGTTACAAATCTGAATTTTGCTGATTACACAAAGATCTAAATCAAATCTCTTGCATCAATGGCCCTCAAAAAATGTACAAAATTGACATTTAAAGGTTTTTCTGGTTTTCCAAAAAATTCACTGGATAATTAAAGTGAATCCCACGGTTTATTTTACTTTTAGCATGGTTTTATCTCTTAGCAGGGGTGCTTTAGTTGTCAAAATTAGTAAATCCTGAAACAGATGCCACGTGCTTTTGTTTTTTGACAATGAATTAGCATGGTTTATTATCTTGGGGTTATCCTTTTGTAACTGCTAATCCACAGGATGGTTCAAAGCTTTTGTAAAAACCTACGGCATATCGGCATTCTAGCTTTAAATATCACTGGAATAGTTACAAGTAGACAATGCAACTTCAAAAGGGATCATTTCTTTTGGTCACAATTTGTACTTTGTTTGTCCAAAGTAAAATGCCATGTTTTGAGTTTTTAAATTAAAATAAGGAAAGATAGATTGTGGCTAAGTTACTGATTTTGTCAATCTCTTTTATTTGTGATTCCTGTGGGTCGTTCTTGATTAATACTTGAGATAAGAACATTGCTTCAGAAATCTGTTTTGGTTTCACCATCACATTGATTTTAATTCATGTTTTGTGAGGCCAACTTTTTTTATTACCTTCTTCTTGAATGGCTTCAATAAAGCAGATAATTTCCTTTTTCTCCTCAAACCCCAGGACATTATTATTAAAGCTGTCAGAATAGGCTTTTTTCTTTGACTGGGCCGTTTATTAAAATCAATCAAAAGAGAGAGATTGTACACAAAGCAAAAAATTTGCAATTTTTTGAAAACAGACAGAGTTCATTAAAAATTTATTGGCCCAAGTCTGAGATCAGACAAGCAGTCTGCTAACCTGAACGACAGAGATTATTTATGGTGATTTTACCCTGAAGAGGGTTAGGAAGTCTAGGAATTGTTGCTCCATTGCAGCAGAAGTGTGTAATAGCAACCATTTGGTTAGTACACCGTCAAACACAGGGAATTCGTGTTAACTTATATTTAATGATTCTTACACGAAGGTTAAACTTGAGGGATCACAGGGTGGCTAATGCTAAACCAACCTGAATATTAAGAAGAAGAAGAAGATTAAGTTAGGAGTGCAAACTTAATAGGTGCTTTCTGTCACTTGAGGTGTTGTACGGAAAGAAGCTTGAAAAGTGGTGAATCTTCTGCATTGATTCCGCAGTCTAATTTTCATCTCTGCATGAGACACACTTTGAGGTTATGCGATTGTTATTGGCACCAAATATTTTCCAAAGAAATGCTGGCTTAAAACCAAGCTCTTTTTCTTCTTCTACAAATCACAGTTATTAAAGTCCATGTCTGTGTAGTAAATGCAATTTTGGCGATAAGCATTGAGATCAATTAAAAATTTTATGCAAAAGTTCTATGAAAATGTAGGAGACACATCTTGTTTAAATTGAAGTATCGTTCCAACCTTTTATAAACTCTACTTTACCGAAGAATAAAATAAGCAATACATTTTTCCTTTGGTAGTTAGATTTTATTATTTGATGTTTGTTTAGACTGGAAATTCAAAGAGCTGTGCAATAATATTCATGTAGTACTGACATCAAATTTAACTTCCTTGATGGGAAACAGTTCAGGTGTGGTAAGGAATTATGTCTACTGAAAAAAGCCCTGTCACAGCTAATTCTGCTTGCCTTGTCATTGACATGGAAATGTAAATTTTATTTCAATGTTTGGCTTCCCATTGGTGCAAAAATTTGTCAGCACCTGTACTAATAACATTTTTGGACGGGGTAGGTTTGTATTTGAATGCAATCAATATAATCCTGTATGACATCAATGGCAAAAAAGCGGTTTGACATGAGGATGTTCCTTGGTGCATTTTAAAATTACGTGTCTGTTAAAAAAAGCTAGCTGATATTGCTTGGGAAAAATATCTCTTTTTATTTCTCGTTCATGTTACAATTTGGTTGTCAGTGCATGCATCTCTTACATAGCAAAATGGTTCAGCTATCATGGATGTAAGTGTGGTCTAAATTAAAATATTATCATGAGAAGTGGATATATAAGATTGGTTAGGGCTCGTCAACTTTTATATTGAAACTGTCAATGTGAACAAATCATTTTTGAGGTTAGATCCAATATCTCTCTCTCAGTGTTGGTTTTCTCTGCCAATTTTTGTTGCAGATGCTGTTATGGATAAGGGAGAATCGGCAGGAGTTTTTGCTCAATTACACAGAAATTGGAAATGATACGACCTCGGCAGAAGAACTTGAGGACGAACATCAAAATTTTCAAAGTAGTTGCATGGTAAGTGAATTCAATTTCCAGCAATCAACTTGAAAAATTATATTTCAATGAAATGTTGTTGAACTTTGTGTTCAAAATATGCCAAAAGGATATTCAGCACTTGTAGTTTTAAGAGCTTGTCTGGATGTACAGATCTCCTTCTTAGAAATAGTCATCTATTATTTAGCTTAGGAGATCTTAAATGCTATTTTTCAGGCTCCTTTAGATTGAAAAGTTCTACTCTGTGGGCTGGCTTTTGAAATTTTCAAATCTGATGGGTTTTTTTACGAGTATGTGTATTTAATTACATATAAATAATATAGGGAATCCATGATTATCTCTCATGTCATCTTATTATGTTTTAGTTAAAGACACAAATTTCAAGGTTGTTTTTGTCTGTCCAAGTTTATTCAAATTGGATTTTCTTTTATACATGTTTCTTTATTCATTTGAGCTGAATTTCTGGTATTGCATTTAGTATGCACTACTCAGCACATGTGTAATATTGCTTCTTCATTTTTGTGAAAATATTGCCACATTGTTTTTACACTCTAGTGCAATTTTGTTATGTTTTGCGATTGAAAATTCACTGTGTTTATTTCCTGTTTTAGTAAGATAGACAAAGCATTTTGAATTGAACTTAATACGATTGGTCAAAATCATGCCATTAGAATAACAAATTCTAATGTTTTGAATTTGCATGACGTAGCTTGACACACCCTTGATATAATATCAAACCTACACTTGATTATATTCAAATACAATTTTGCAGGACTCTTTTCATCCATTAAAATTACTGTAATAATTGCTTGCAAATATAGAACAACTTTAGAAGGCCTAGACTGTATAATGTTACCTTTTGACCTAACTTCTTGTCTAAATACAGCTGTAAAACACAGCTATAAATTAGGCCATTTTTTCTGTGTAGATGCAATATATCTGGAAGGAAATGCAATATTGTTGTACTTGACTTAAAAGTTTTTTCCTTGTTTGGTAAACTTGAAGTGAATAATGTTTTATACCAATTGGTTTGGATGATTTTGATTGCATTCTTGTATCTGTTTCATTTATATTTAAGGAGCGTATTTTTAAAAGCATTGTATTAAAGTTTAATTGCATGCAGTTTCAAGTGCTGAATTTCTTCAATTTCTGGTACCTGTTGCTTTAGTGTCAAAAATAGCATGATATTGCCAATATATCATAGGTTATCAGCATTAAGTGAAATATTAAGTTATTTTGTAAACATGACTTACATGTACATAGTAAGATAAGGTTGAAAGATGTTGCAGTTTATCTAGAAATGGAAGACGTTTTCAATATCGTTACAGGGCTATATTTAATGTTTTTACTGGTTATTAATTATCTTCCGTCCAGAAGTTGAACTTTGTTGCTGGTTTCTTTGACCTTGAAATAATGTTATTTTTAAGAGAATGGTACAATTTTAGAAAATTATGGGTTTCTTCGAAATTGCTCTAACTAACAAGGTTGAATGTGGTGGAATGAGTCAGTAAAAGAAACCTGTTTGTGTAAATAGCCCTTAAGAAAATCCACTTAAACTCTCAAGGCTTCAGCAGGATTTACAGGTGGCGCAGCAGCTTAAACATGAGCATGTTGTACTCTGTATTTAGTAATGCATATTTGAGTTCTGGCTGGATTCACCTTGTTTTGTTCTTGGGTAGGGCATGTTTAGTACCCTTACAGCACTCCACTGCACTCAGGAATATTGGCAAGTTCTTGGGATAGATTAGTGATCCACTTAGGGGACGTAGCAATTTGGCCAGTTACTTGATGCTAGGATAAACTGTAATAGTGTGAGCCATTTTGTTACGAGTGCAGACTTCAACAGGTAACAGGATTGAAATCCATACCCTGGCAAGACAATGCAAATGTTTCATTAAGGTATGATGCCACAAGGGGAAGGTCACTCCTCTTGCAGAAAAAGTAAGAAAAGAAAAAAAAAAACTTAAAATATACAGTAGCATCTTCTTACTGTAGCTAGCTGGACAGGCACAAAATTTTTACTAGGTGTTAGACTTAGTGTGCAGTGGCAAAGACATCTTGCCCTTGCATCATTTAACCTACAGTACAGTTATACATTTTACTTGACTTTCTTGTAATTTTCTTTCATGCTTGTAAAATGCACCACATTCTACATTTAGTAAATCTTTAACTAATTTATAATAATTTTAAGTCATCTGTAGTGCAAGCTCTGAATTAAGTTTTCTTTACAACCTGGGGTACCTTCATATTGTCATAATAAAATGGAGTTTTCAATTCAACGAAGCATGATTTGCCGTTCAAAGAGTTAATAACTTGCATTGTTTCTGTAAAAGGAACCTTTCAAAATTAACAGTTGAAAGTGGCCAATTTTTAATTTTTTTTCAGTCTCAATTATTTTAAAATAGTGTTATTAGTGCTGTAAGAAAATTAAACTCCCAGTTTTTATTGGATAGAAAATTTATTTCAATGATACTCTCCTAATGATTAAAACATTTTGCAGTAATTCACAAAGGTGTAAGTTAAATTTGTAGCTTTAATTTACTCTTGGCAATGCTGTATTATCATGTAAATATAGAGTAAGAAAAGTGTCGATTTCACGTCCTAGCAGTTGACATTGTAAAAATGCAGGTAGTAGTTTCCTGTAATTTTGTTATTAGAAGGAGAATTTCAAGCAGTGTTGTGGACCAAAAACTTATTTCTAAACTATTTAATAACAAGGAATCATAATTTTTAAAAACGTGAAATAATGAAAAATCATGAAATTTAAATAAATCATCAAGACCTTGATCTTTTAATTTAGCCACTAAAATGGTATTCTCTCACAGTATATTTCAACTCATTTGTGAAACTAATTTTTTTTTGTGATGTAGCTTTTTTTACCAAACAAGATAGTCTTTGCACAAGTTAAAATACAAATGAAATCAAACAGAAACATGCTCAACAAATTTATTTAGAGTGTGAAAAACATACGTCATCTTAAGTCCTGCTTCTAAGTTTTAAAAAGAATAAACTTATATGTGTGATATTGAATTTAAATTCTAATTTTTACGAAAACTAATAATTTTCATTCCCACGAGGAACAAAAATTATTAAAAGTAAATATGCAATTTTATACTTCAGGTTTTTGACAGATCAGAAACTGTCATTGTGAATTGGTCTTAATTTCTTTTTGACATTATATTGCTTTGGCTTCCTGAATTCAAATGTATTTTATTACTTTTGCAAATTTACTGTGTCATATGATAACATTTGGCTACTAAGAAAACAGCTTCTGTTTGATGACAAAATGAAAGTGCATTTGTCACGGCATAACTCTTTACTCTGTATTAGGTTTGCATGATATCATGTTAACATGCAGAGAACTTAATCCTGTTATTCTTATGAACAGCTGTATCACGTTTCATTTCACCAAAACCCCAGAACCCTCAATTTGAATTTCAAATTGAAAGCCTTGTGGCCAGGTTATCAAGAGAATTCTTGACACTTCTCAGGATGTTAATAATTAAAATTAATTCAGCGTCTCATTGGAATAACAATACATGACTTTGGTCATACAGGATCTTCGGTTTGTGTCTCAATGTTCATTGCCATTGGCAACTCTGCTAATCTTTATCTGATCTTAAATAAGAACAATGCTGCTAGTAGTTTTGCGTGCCTTCTGTATAGTGGGTCATAGTTAATTTGAGTGATGCCATGCACTTTAAGGAACAATCTTCTTGAATTTCCCTTGGGCTGAAGGAATCGGCAAAAATATTATCATATGGTAGGAATGTTTACTCAATATGTAAAATCAATTTCCAGTATTGTCAGGGAGGAAATGTTTTTTCATTTTAGACCAACGGTGAAATGCTTAAATTGTAATTTTACTTTCTATCAAAATTTGCAAAGGGACTTTTCTTTTACAACCTTTTGCAATATAACGTACAATGTTTTGTACAATTAAATATTCTTTTGCATGCAATTTTGTGCTTTAAAAAGTGAAGATTTTCCAATTTAGCATTTCTTTATTTTGTATGCCAGTTTCTTCATTCTGTAGGCAGAATGATATTTGAGGGGATTTTTTTATTGGAATTATGTTTGTGTAATGACAAGCACAGTGTATTTAGAAAAATGTATGCTTAGTATTTCTATTTATGAATTGGTTCAAGTCAGAACATCTTCTATATGACCTATCTAGATGTTTTCCCGAATTTTCATACACTTAATATATTCTAAAACAGCAGGCAACAATGTTGTAATTGACTATGTTTTGTTGCAATCTCAGTGCGCTACATTCTCAGAGTTCTAGCAATTGTATCTGTTTCATACATGCCTGTCTGTTAATTTCTTTTGATGTTAATACAGTTCATCTGAGGCAACTTTTGCCATAGTCAAGTTTGTATGTGACATGTCCTTAGACATGTTATGCATTAATTCATGCTAATTCATACAGAAAATTCATAATACTAATCATGAACTAACACCTGTCTGGGTATATTAAATTACTCTAAAGTCTGTTTGCTCAAGGTTCTGCAGGCAATGGAGGGAGAAACATATATATTGTTCAACAGTAAACATGTACCTACATAAAGATCTTCACTGGAAAGACGATATGCCGATGAAATTGCGATCTTTACATTACACTTTCAGCAATACAAATGAACGTGAACTTAATTGGTGATACAGTGTAAACATGACACCAGAGTTTGGTTTTTTGGTTAATTGGCTGTCGAGAAGTGAAAGGCCTAATTGATTATAATGGAACACTGTCATTTAGCCTACTGATCAAATTCTTCAACCTTGAAATGAATTTTATCTTATAGCAAAAAAAGCCAGACAGGCAGACTGTCTGGTTTCCTTTTAAAATAAGCATGAGTATTTCACAATATTCTTTGTTAAATTATTATGCTATCATGTAGTGATTCTCGTTGTCAGGTATGTTTTTATCTGTGTTTTTTACCTATCTTGGGGGTACTCTTGTTATTGATAACTGTAAGCACTGATGTTTAATATATTTGGCATTGAAAGGCAGATGGAAGGTC